GTGATAAATTTTGTGCAATTATAGGTATGCCGCCGATGATGCCAGGTTTTCCTCCAATTCCAGCTGCAATTCCTCCATTTGTACCGCCGTTTGTGCCAGGTGCACCACCACCACCAAATATTATGCCACCTATGCCGGTCGCATCTGCCGGTAGTGCTCAGCCTTCTCTTACAAGGTTGTTGCTTTTCTGCGGCTTCGTGCTCGGGGCTTCTTAAAGGCCGTTAAATGTAATGTTGGAAGAACTTGTTTGAAAAATTGCTGGAAACTATAACTTCCATACGGAATGCCCGCGGAATATTTGCAAATGTTTTTTATTTAATTTATTTTGTGCGAAAATATTTTAATTTGGTGGTATCTTGAACGTTTGACCAGCTCTTTATACGATTTGTTTAATTCCGCACCGCTATTCATTAGGCAATTTTAATTTTTTGCAGCATGTCCGTGCCCCCCCAGGTGTCGCTAAGCGGTCCAGTAGCTGTATCCGCTCTCCCGGGCTTGGTTCCGTTCGGTGCGCAACCTCCCGCTATGCCAACAGCTTTCCCAGCTTATAACAATCAGTCACCTGCTAAACGTGCAAATCCGGAACCGGTGGAAGAAACACCCAGTCAGATCCAGAAACTGGGAGCTAAAATACACATTATGCATCCGGACGAAGATATATCTTTGGTGCGTTACTTTTTTTTTCATCAACTGTTCCACAAACCGCTGAGCCAAAATGTGGTCCTATACAGGCGCTAGCCAAATTCCTGTTTGCTTCAGTGGTTGAGGTCATCAGTCCCAATTCATTCAGTGTTTATTTAGGAACTGATACTGGTGTGCTCGTTGAAACTGTTATATGCCAGGAGTGTGTAGTGTCTTGGTGACATTAATCACTATTTTGCAGCTGCTCTGGCAGCTGGCTGGCTTCTCCCTTCTTACCCGAAACGGAGGCGATTTATTCTTCCCGTATTCCTCCATGTCTTCGGCTAAACGCGGCATATCAGTACTGCTTCTTTTTAGAGTCGTGTACAGGCGTAGCTGATGTCATTTTTCATTACTGTCTCTCTACTGCAGCTCCTAATTATTGTCTGTTTTAGGAAGAACGATTGGCTTGCATGAAAGGACTGATGTAGGTGTTGAGGCTTGGGCCGTTCTGTGAGGTAAGTCTTTCTTTTGAGGTCCAGTTGAGTAGTGATGTCCTGTAAAGCGTATTCACAGCGGCTGCACCGTTTATTTGCTTTCTGTGCAGTTCCTCTGTTAAAGCTCGTATTATTAGTCTTGCAAATTTTTTGGAGCAGTTTAAAGGTTCTAAACAGATGAGACGACAGTTTTCGCGTCTATCACTTATTAACACGCAGATTAAAAAAAAAAGGTTAGTAAGAAAGCAGGTTGGTGGTCTCTCTTTTCTTGCGCAGTGTGCGTGTTTCATTCTTAAGGCAGCCCGCGGCTGTTCCTTTTGCTCATCGCTGCGCAAAGGTTATTTCCAACAAAGTGTCGTTCATATTTTACGCCTTCAACCCTCTTGCTTTGGACGGAACTTCGACACCGATTGAGGCGTCCCCTCCCTCGCCTGTGCCTTGCTGCATGTTCACCTTCCCGCTACTTATTTTTCAATGTTTTGCCTGGATATCAATCCTAAAAATCGTGCGCTGTCAGTTAGTCAAAGTACCATGCGTACGTGAGGAAGCAAGTAGCCCGGAAAGGAAGAGCCTGACGATCAATCAGGCTTCGCGAGTAACATCGAGGGTCTGCACCGACTGAGTATTGGTAAGTGAACTGTGAGGGCAGGTTGCCCCTGTATGTCTTGTGCTGCTGTAATTGTTTTTAAATTAATGATGGTCCACCTTGTAATCACCTAAAACGGTAAGTTCGCTGTGCTTTAAAGTGCAGTGTAGTGTCTGAGTGGAGCTGGACTGAGGTAAGTGCTAATTGGGCCCTGATAGGTCCTCGGAGGTTATCATTGGCATTGGCCAGCCAAGTCTTTTTCTTCAATTTCAGCGCAAAATTTGTTACCATCAGCAAGCTTGTTCATGTGGAGCATCGCCAGTCATGTCTCTCGGTTGAAAGCGGAAATATATGGTAACACTGTGTGTTTAAAAATTGCTCTTTGTATACTGTTGTTCTCTTTTTGTCGTTTTTGCCAGAATTTAAAAGCAGCAGTTGGTAAGTTTTGTTTCCTTTGTTGTGGCTCATGTCACCCTCATTTTTATTGCTTCTCTTGAACGCCAAGCTGAACCTGCCAATTTCTCGTACATCGATGTTGAGGCGCATTCAGAATTCGCAGTTCTAAAGAGTGTTTTCAGCATCAGGGGAAGAAATTTTATGAAAATCCTAGACTTTGCTTCATAAAGAAAGAAACCGTTTGTGAGGGCTTAATTTTATTTGTTTGTAATGCGTCTTCAGATGTTTATGGATATCATGCGTTCATGTTGTGCCAGAAAAAACTTTTTTTATTGTGAATTTTTAACAACGATGCATTTGAGCAGCCTCACCCAAAGAAGAGTCTCCTAATTAGCAAGTAGTGCTGTAACATCAGAAAGGCTAAAACAAAATAATCTTTTTTTGGGATAAGAAGCAAAATGTACTGTAAATGTAGTTCTCGTCAGCGCTCCCAGTGTGTTCCAAGGATTGCTCAATCCGTAGAAGTTCAGTGACGGCAGGTTGTAGGGAACACACTAAACAGTTCTTCTGTACTTCACATTTCGATCGCTATTTGTGAGGCCTTGTTAATCTCGCGTCCATGCACTTAAAGTCAGGCATCACCGATTACTTGCACACACCCCCTACTACGAGTAATGGTCGTTGCGGAGAGGTACGGGAACAACTGGTACGTGAGCTGACGGATCACATAATTACTCTCTGGACGAAGAGGGGAGAAATGCAGTGACATGAGCAGACGATTGCTGGAATTTGGCTCGGCTCTGCTCGGTTAATGAGCAAATCGCGAGAACTGCTGATGATGATGAGGGACGTCCTTCGCGCATCGGATAGCACGTATTTTGGAGGGTGGTAGGTGGGAGAGGAGCGGTGTAGTGCAGGTTCAGGATGCAGAGGCTTAGGACTGGAGAATGGATAGGCAACTACTAAAATCGGCCACGCAGTATGCACTCATCTGTGAGTCTGGTGGCTGGGTGAAGTGGATTTAGAGGGTGATGAGTGAAGAAGAGATGCGGTGCTGGTTTGGGCCACAAGGATTTGGAATAAGCGAGGGCTGGGACATCGTTGGTTAGAGAGTGCAGTTATAGCGGAAGGGAGGAGGAGTGAAGACGACTAATTGTTGCTTTCGAGGCAAGAATTGGAGAGAGGGTAGAAATGAGGAAAGAGGATACCAGTCAAAAGCTCAGAAGCGGGAAGTGGAAACAACAGTAGTAAAGGGAGGCAACACAGCACTACAAAGGAATACAAATTAAAACAAATCTAAGCCTAGGAATAAAAGCAAAAAGTTCTGGGTTCATGAATAAAAGGGGAAAATCTGCGCCTGTGTGAGAAGTGTCCTGCAAAAACTCATCGATAGTAGGGTATTTACCC